TCGAAAAAGCGACGTTTCAAGCAGCCGCTGAAGACCGCTTTGAAGTCCTTCGAGATCAACACCGCCACATGGGAAACCTTTGCACTGAACCATTCAGCATGGCACAGCCTCATTCACACTGGCAGTAATAACTCTGAGGCGAGGCATATTGCCGAGGCTGAAAAAAAGCGTGAGCTGCGCAAGTCCAGGGCTGCTTGTACCATTATATGTCTGCCTGACGTGTGACAGGACGTTCCACGCCTGAATCGGACTGATCAGTCATCTTCAGATGCACAGAGCCCGGTCATCGAAAGAATGAGTTGTTGAGGTCTTCATCAATAACGATGGACGAACATCATCATGTAGCTGCTGTCTCACCACTCTATGCACTTCCCAAGTGCCTCCACATGGATCAAATTGACCATAGAATTGATTAAGCACCAGGTGATTAACTTATTAACAAGGTGATTCAGTAGGAGGGAAGAGCTGGGAGGAAAGGCTAGAGAAGCCTGGGATCTCACAGAGGGGAAATCTCCCCTGCATCTGGGGAAAAGCTTTATGTGGTGGGGAGCAAACAATTGTATAGCATGTTGTAAATGAAGCATATAGGATTAAATTTGCCATGGGAGTGTGTGAGGACTGTTTGCAACAAGAAGTGCAGGGTGAGGGAGCCCTGCCTTGTGTCAGGTCCAAAAGGAAGGAGAAAGAGGCATTTTGTGGTATGTATGGAAGTAAAATATGAGGCGCATCATATTCTGGCTTTCCAGAGATGGTATGCTACTGCTAACCTGTGGCACAGCATAAATTACAGGTAGATTTGTGACATGATGGGTCACAGACCCCTTTCCCAATGGATTCAAATTGACCCCTGTGCAGAGAGCCAGCATGAAGCCTAGATGCTAATTAAGTCAATGAGCACAGGGTTTGCCATTGTTTTGAGGTCAGGACATGCATTTTTAGTGATTCAACTCTGGATTTTTCTGAAAGGAGTTTTAAGGGGAGATTTGAAGGCAATATACAAATGACAATTAGCAGTAGAAAGAGTTTTGAGGAGGAATTTAAAGGTAGGACGAGAGGATGCATGGAATCTAGAAGAAAAGCCTCCTTTCTGCTATAAAAGCAGTAAAGTTGTCCCCTGCTCCCGCACCCACCCCCCAAAAAAGGGGAGGGGAAAGGATTCACTCTAGAAACAGGCATATGACACATTTCTTGAGAGCCTGACTCTCTGCTGCTGTGAATTAGCATAGTGCCTTTGAAGACAAGGGAGCTATGCAGATATTCAACAGTAAAGATCTGGGCCATAGTTTGCAAGAGAAATGTCAGCATGGAACAGCGTTTAACTTTAAAACGGGCTAGCGTAATGTCTGGGAGGTAGGCCAGAAATCAGGGCCAGCTCTACTGTTTTTGCCGCCCCAAACAGCTCACCGAATTGCCACTGCGGACGGCAGGGGTAGTCCGTGTGCTGTTAGGGCGACATGTGCGTTTCCGCGGCGGCGGCAATTCGGCCGGAAGACAGAAGCTGCTGCCGAATTTCCGCCATGTGCAGCTGAACATAGAAGCTGCCGCTGAATTGCCACCGCTGCGGAAACACGCGTGCTGCCCTAACAGCGCACGGACTGCCCCCACCATCCGCGGCGGCAATTCGGCATGCTGCTTGGGGGCAAAAACACATGGACTGCTGCCCCTTGCAGATTGCCGCCCCAAGCACCTGCTTAGAAGCCTGGTGCCTGGAGCTGGCCTTGCCAGAAATGGAGCTACAGTAGAACTCTGCTTGGATAATACCTTAATTTCTTTTTTCCCCTTTCTGTAATTAAAGAAGAAAACAGCCTGCAGCCCAGTTCCACAGGGAAAAATGATCTCTTTAAAGATCTAGCTTCTTCCATTTTCTGTTTGTACACTATAAAAAAAAACCTTATTGGCTTTATCTAATCTGCACACAATTAGAAGTACAATAGAGAAAATATTGGCTGGCACTTTTGAAGGACACACTATCTCTACTTTCTTACAAGGAGGAGAATAAATCAGCGGATTTGTGTTGGTCACAGGCGGAGGTCTATTGGGTTTTTACCTATAAACTGTGCCAAAGAATGACTTCTGTGTTCCCTATGGACAGACAAGAGTGATAAACAACCTATTGGTAACAGAGTATATCACAGAGCACAAACTTGAAAGTTAAGCCAGGTTTCTTGAGACGTTTATTATAGTGTGTAACTATCTCAGGAAACCCAGTCCAAGTTTTGATGATCCTAGGTTATGGAGGGGTGGTTTTTGGGTGGAAACCAAGTGAGGCAGAGGCTTTACCTACACTGGAAAATTGCTTAGGTTATTGTGGCAGAAAACATGATACCTAAGGGCTTGTCTACACAAACATTTAGCTTGCAGCTTGCTGGGGTGTGAACCTACTCTGCATTAGCCTGTCATGCCATGCATTAACTGTCCACGTGGACTCTGCTGATATGCTAATAGTTCATTAGAGCACTTTGCTCTATCCCAGTTGGAAATGGCAGTAGATTAAAGCACACTACCAAACTTGTCAACACTGTGTGCTAAGTCTTGTTTAACATTATGTTCATTAACCCTGAGACCTGTGAGAGCCAGACTTCTGGGACCTGACTGGGCACTCCTGGAGTGGACCACAGAGAGGGAGCTACAGGTACAGTTCTCCTGAAACGGTGTCTTGTAAACTAGTCTGCCTGATCAGGGTCCAGATTAGTGATAGTGATGCAAATTTGGAGTCATTTGCTAAAGAGATACAGGAGCCAGGGGAATAGGTCATCTCCATACAATTTTCCTGTTCTGTTTCTTGCACCTACTTGGGAATCAAACTATTGTGCTGATCGAGCCCAAACACATAGCTCCTGCTTACTGTAGAAGAAGCCGAGCTGACCTCCTCACATTCCTTCAGTTATCAGATTGCTCTTCTCCCTGACCCCTCAGACCTAAGAGGGGACAAGGTGTGGCAATCACCAGGAGGACTGAATTCAGGGGCAGGGAGAGAGCAGAAATGAGGGCTACAGAGCTTTCAGGAGTGTAGTTACCAGCAACTCATCTGCCTCCTGACTGCCCTGAAACATTGCAATGGCCATGGAAAGGGGGCAGGGGAAGGGGGATCTGGCAACTGTGGGGAATGCAACTCTCAAGCTTACTTTGGCTGCAACATCAGAAGCAGGAATAGGAGCTGCATTCCTGTTGCTGCTGCAGCTTCCGCTGTCTGAGAAGCTGGGTTGGTATCCTAGGTGCAGGGGCAACTTTGGGGACATGTTCCCTTGTCCCCTTGCAAACAGTGGGAAAGAAGTAGTGCAGAGCCTCTTATCTAAACCTACCCTAGCAGCTGGGGTGCTAGCTCTGCTCCCCTGAGCCAGGACTGTTGCAGCAGGAAAGGAATGAAGCTGATTTGAAAAATTACAGCAAAACATTTTCCAATTGGAATTGGCTGATTAATTGAAACTGAGAAATCTTGCTACACTGCTTAGATTTGGACAAAGTTCCGACACAGCCCTGGCTGCCAGGCAGATTCCTGTCAGAAACCGGTTTTTCTGGTTTAGCAGTTTTAACCTTTTTAATTATAAGGAGGAACTATGAACTCTTAGAACAAGCTATTTAACAAAGCTGGTACAAACACCAACAGAACAATTTTTCTGAATATTGAAAGTTAATTGGTTACCTATGTGCTTCTGAGAACTTTACAATGAATCATTTGCTTAAGCTTAACAGTACAACCAGCTCTAGGTTTGCAGGGCCCTCTGCTAAGTAAGGTTTAGAGAACTGCAGGAGGTAAGGTAACCTATGGAAGAACTGAGGGCTTTTTAAGTTGACTGTGAGTGGTAGAAAAAGCCTTCACTGCAGACATCTGATCTGTGTGCCACTCTGCGAGATGGGAGATGTTTCTTTCTGATTTTTGCAGATGTAATAACATATCTGAGTTTGAAAATACCCTGCATCTGTAAGTATTTCTATCTCTGAGCAGTCTGCTCCCTAAGGAGGGAAGGCTGCTTAGAATATTATGCTAGAACTGCCATTACTGTCTCCTATATGACCAGAGGCAGTTATATTAATCTGCCTAGAACTAGGAAGTAAAGAGGAAATTAATAAAATACACAGAAGGCTTCCATGACCTTCCTGTTGGTGGCTAATAGAGACCTTCCCTCCTAGGAAAATGAAGCCTATAGGAAGAAGAGGAACTCCCTGAACATTGTGCGGTGGCTGGGTGGAATCTGAAGAAAGACTGTAGAGAGAGGTCTTGCAACATTGTGTGGAACAATGCCTAAATACCTCTAAAAGTCTGGGCCTAAGTCTCTCTCACTTTCAAAAGTGACTTTGGCCCTTAGTAGCCTCAGTCTAATTCACTTTCCAATCCTTTAAAAATCTGAGACATAGAGGCTGTTTTCCCATCCCTACCACCTGAAAACCTATTTTGCACACCACTTCCACAACCATGGAGTAGAGAGGCTACTCCAGAATGTGTGTTGTGGGGCTGGAGGGTAGCAGGGAAACTGCAGTAGTGTTATCCCCATCCCCTTGCCCGCTCTTCAGTGTTTAACTGAGAAAGTGTGAAGAGTGTATCCTCATCTATTACCTTATCAAAATGCATAACTTTAAAAAGAGAGGAAGGATGGCCTTGTGCCGAAGGCACTGGTCCAAAACTTGGGACATCTGGCTCAACTTCCAGCTTGGCCACAGACTTACCACGTGACCCCGGGTTAGTTACCTCCTTTCTGTATTTCAGTTCCCTGTCTAAAAGTGAGATACCAATATTTCCCCTCTTTCCAGCTGTTGTCTTGCCTCTGTATATTGTAAGCTCTTCATACTATATGTCTGGAGCACTTAGCACAATAGTGCTGTGATGTCAGTTGGGGCCTCTAGGTGCTACTGTAATAAATAATAGGTGATTTACTAATCTTGGGCTCGTTTAAAAGGGTTAGGGGAGCTGAAATGCAATTTTAGAGGAGACAAAAGGGCAAATGTATATTAACTTCCCCCTCTTTCCCAGTACTTGTCCTGTCACTTTCCTGCAGCCTCTCTTTATAGCTGTAGTTTTCATTCTGACGTGTTTTCTCATGTCTGATTTTGTAACTATCTCCATTTTGCTCATTACAGAAGCCTAAAAAGTCCAAAATTAGTGCAAAGTCATATTTAGCTCTGAAAACTGGTGACATCCTAAATTGAGTTTTTAAAAAAAGACATGTAAAGTCTCAAAAAGAACCAATTTACTGCAGGGAATAAAAAAAAAATACTGATTCAGATTCAAAGTTGGGGTGGGGAAAATACCCTTTTTCTCACCCTCCAGTGATCTTTAGTATAGAGTTAGTATGGTATTGCTGAACAGCACTTCCTGTCTTACATAACTTCAGAGTGCTGGTCTGAAAAAGAACTAGCACACTTCTCCTTTAAAAGACATAGTCAAGTTAAAATAAATGTTAAATATGCATTTTGTAAAAAGAAACATTAATAAAATCTAAGCCCAATCTAAGCCCAATAGAAATGTTTCCAATATCTATTTAAATTTAGTTTTTAAAAGAGTAAACATCCCCCTGTAGCGTTTGAACCCAAACACTGCAGCACCTGCAACCTGAAAGTGAAGCTGACAAGTACAAATAAAGCAGGCTTCATGGTCCAAACTCATAGAATGCATAACTAGTGACAAATAAACTAAATTTTTAAAATGATTTAATTTAATTTATTTAGTTCAGAAAAAAAGCTGGCTGGTGCGCATTCAACGACATCAGGGACATCCTCCAAGGAAAGATCAGCAAAACAACTCGTGCGAATCTTTTTAACTCAACCATGCTTCCAGCAATGCTATATGGCAGCGAAACATGGTCGCTGATGAAGACTGAAGAACATCAACTGTCTGTCACACAGAGGGTGATGGAACGAACATTTCTGGGCATTTCACTCCGCGATCACATCCCCAATGAAATAATTAGGCAACAGTCTGGAGTGCAAGATGTTGTTGTTGAAAGCAGGCTCAGCAAAATGCAGTGGGCAGGACATGTGGACCGACTCAGTGACAACAGATGGACTGCAGCTATATCTGAGTGGTATCCGCGAGAACTGAAATGACCACTTGGTCGGCCTCCAAAGAGGTTGGATGATTTCCTAACAAGGAGATATAGACAAGTATGGCGAAGGATGGCCACAGCGAGAGAAGATTGGAAGACGTGTTGTGATCAGCTTAACTGATGAAGGACCGACAGTCTATGCAGTTCAATAGGCGTTTGAATCAGGACCTGGATACTCCATCTGACTCAGGATTGAGCCCTTTGAAAGCACACTTGTGCTCACAAAGTCCATACTTGCATGTGCAAATGCACAACGATGTGTTTAGGCCCTTGCAGATATTGACTTTTGCATACTTAGATTGGATATACTCATTTTTGTGAGTGTGCAGTTAAAGATTCCAGCTGGAAAAAGCTGAAGTTGGAAAAGTTGGAGTTATGGTTGTTCTTCAGAGTATACTGCATTTCCATATTGTATCCTGTAATATAGATAAGGAAACAGTCAGAGGTGCCATATGCTTCTCAGTGCAACTAGACCAGTGACAGTCAAATTAGTTTTAGAATTGCATTTCTATACATATATCTAGATTAGTGGTTCTCATCCACTTCACACTCAGAACACCCACTGAGTTAGCTGGATCCCACCTCCTATTTACTAACCTGGGAAGGGTAGTGTTGTCATGGTCCTCTGATACCTGTTTGTAACCAAGTAGTTTCAAAGAGAGAAGGAAAAACAAGTTAAGGTCCATTCTTTCTGGAAGCACTAATTTTGCTACTGATAGAGTCCATGTATGGTTTATTTCACGTTCACAGACAGGGAGCGTAGGGGAAAGAGGTTCGGAGGGAAAACTGCTATGCCGGGGGAGATGTCTTGTTTATTCTTAACAAGGAAAATAAATCTGCTGATCAGCTTTCCTTAATTGAGTTTGGATTATAATTAGTTCAATCTTCATCCGTAGACTGCATTTGTAATGAACTGTGATTTCATTGTGTTTAGTCTTCCTGTGCTTTTCTGGCTTTTTCATAGCCTTGCTAAGCAAAGGATTTACTTTTTGTATTTGTTCATCTTATTAGGTTGGTTTATAAGAAACATAAAGCTCCTAAAATTCATCAGGAAAAGGAGTTGTGTGTAGCTTACTTAAGCAATGAACAGTTGAAAAAGAAGGATACGTGTAACATTAAGGAGTTGTAAAATTGAATATAACAATTTTTACAAGGGAGGAGAAGTAAAATATCTAAAGGTGATTAAACCATTTTTCAATGCTAGATGGAAAAAGAAGAGAGGATTTGTAAAGAAATTGTGAGGGAAGGGCGGGGGGAATCCCAGAGAGCTAAAAAACGAAGAGGAACTTAAAAATGGTTGATAGTTTAAAAAAATAGGCTATAAAGGTGGTAAAATTCAGTATTGGGGACGTTGTTGAAGCTCCATTGACTTTTCTCTAACAACATTGTCTAATGGATCTCAATTACTTCTATGGATTTGTGCCCATTCACTACAGGGCTAAATTTGGGCCGAGGGCTCATATGTTAGAGAACAGATATGCACTAGAGTGATGCACATCCAATATAGACATGATAGCAGGGTTTAGAAGTGGAAAATGGTGATGACTTGATTCTGACTGGTCAACAATTTCACAACAAAAGGACAAGAATAATGGATCAGGGCTTTATGTATAAATGGCTCCGATTATGATTATTATGTGGGATGTAACTGGATTTATTCAAAATGCTAAGGAGACACCCATTATGGAAATATACTGGAAATGAGTGAACCAATTTGCGGAAAAATTCTCACCCCAAATGCAAATCAAACTGAGCCTGAACTTCTAAATTATTTAGAATACTAAGTAGGCAATATAACCAAGAATTTAGAAGGAATATAAAGCCTCATGTTTCAGGACATACACAAGTCTATCTATTAAAAATTAAGAAGAAATACACCCTTGGAGCAAGTTATCCCATAACTGCTTACATTAGAATTTCCTGCACTTTCCTCTGAAATGCCTGTTACTAGCCTCTATGTATGGCAGATGGTGGATTAAATGGATCACTGTTCAGATCCATTAGTTTAGTTACTATGTTCCTAAATATGACTGATATAAGTATCCTCCATTTCCCTAAGAAATTTCCTATCTTTACTGAATTCCATCTTAGAGTTTCAGCAACCTTTACTGGGCCAGCTACTCGCTTCAAACCTTATGTGCTGTGAACCTTTCTTTGGGGTCAGAAGACAAGAATACTGTTTGTGGCACCATTTGGTCTAGAGAAGACCTGGATCATGAGAAATTCAATTAGATAAACTGGCCAGAGCCTAGGAGAGTGAGTGCTCAAGCTTGGACTCCGAATGCCTTCTCAATATCACAATGCAGAGATGAGATGGGGTAGAGACCCTCGTTGGGATTAGGATGACTCAAGAGTGAGAGGGTCAGGGAGTGGTAATTGAATGACAAAGGAATAGCAAGATATGCCAGGAAAGGTAGAAGGATCTAGCTGAGATAGTGGGTAAGAGGGTGTGAAGAAGAAAATGGCATGTGGAGGACAAGGTTTGTGGATGAGAGAACAAGGAAGGCTAATAGATTTTTTTTTATTAAGTATCAAAACATTTTTAATCTTATCTGAAACAAACCTTTTTAGATGTATATCTCATTAATATGTAGCATATGAGGATAATAGTTACATAAAAGGGGATCTGAGCATTCCAGGCAGTTCAGAAGGAAGGGGCTGAAGGGTGGGGGACAATATTAGAAAAGCAGTGCCTTCAGTTACTTGATTTATTACTTAAATAAATGAAAATTGTGCATCCTGATAAAGAGAGAGGGCCAGACTTGTCCTTGGTGTAATGTCACAGGCTTTACTGAAGCTACACCCAGTTATGAAGTTAGTGTATGAGTCTTAGTTAGACAAATTAGTCAATTTTCTAGTAATTATAGATGCATTGGTATATAAGACAGCACAAGAATTGCCTATTACAGAAACATAATGGGGTGAAAACAAAAGAAATCCAGATATATTGGTATGTTTTTAAAGGCTTTGCTTTTATTATTCAATATGCAAATACAATGGGCAATTACAGGAAGTGCACCATGGGATTTCAGCAAGCACTCGAATAAAAATGAAAAGCTTTCAAAATCATTGTTAACCAACTCAAAGTGCTTTAATCATTCTTTTTTTATACAGCTGTACTGTAACAAATCATTCTGACAAAAGTGCTACCCTTATTTTTTTATGTCTGAACACAGCTCTTCGTGCTTTTATCTAATTGAGGCATAAGCCTAGTAAACTGAATTTAGGTAGAGTAGTGATTGTTTCCTGTATCTCTTTTTTTAAAAAAGCTTACATCATCTATCAATCACTTTCACAGATCATTAGCTTTGCTGTACTTTTTATCCAAACTTCCCCTGAATTGGCAATCATTTTCAGACCTTGCATCAGTCAGTCAAGTTCATATTACTACACAGACCATCCATTTTACTGCTTATCTCAGAGTTGTTGCCACATCATTTAAAGTCACTCAAAAAACTTTATACACCATTTGTCAAGTTGGATCACAAACCCACATCTATTCCTCTTGTAAATACATTCTCTTTCTTTCTCAATTGTCCTTTTCAGTGTTGTTTTTTTAATCTGTCCCTTTGTTTCTCTTTTATTTGGTAAAAGGATTTTGATCATCTTAAAATATATGAAGGCCATTGCTTATCATGAACATAAGACCTCATAGCTCTGTTTCTTTTGAAGAATATGTCATCAGTACTTTGACTTTGAAATCATTAATCATTTATGAAAGATCTATCAAATGCCTTTCTTTTCTTCCCCATAGCGCTGATGTCTCATCTTCACAATACATGTAGTCTACACAGAATCCCAGGGATAATCTGAGGCTCCAAGGGCTACTGAAGTCAGTATGCAGCTATGCAGATTTATACCAACTGAAGATCTAACCTTATGTCTATTACAAAATCTCAGGTGAAGTCCTGACCCTGTTGAAGTTAGTGGGCAAAATTCCCACTTTCTTCAGCTGTCAGAATGTCACCCCAGATTTCTACTTGAAATCAGAATGATCAGTTATTGTATTGCTGCATAGCCACATGTTAGCACTAACTTATTTAACCTGTGATTGCTTTTACAAAAGTTATTTTTTAAATAAAGGATTTATCTTTATCTGGCTGCTTGTTGTCATGGCTCAGGGTGCTGAAACGTTCGGGATATATCTGAACTAGGATGACTTGCTGTCCTAAGAACAATTCACATTAGTTACTGTCTACTTCATCTCCTCTTATTACTTAATTGTAGAAATTAACACAAATAAACCCATGTGGGTGTGAAGAACATAATCTGTTCTTTGAATAGTTGGCAAATCCAATAGCTCAATTGTGGGAAATGGAGTCCAATAAAAGATCCATTTTGTTATGCTAGGCAGAAAATCTTTCTAGGAGACATCTTCATTATTCATTGGCAATAACCTAACTTGAAGTTTTCTTCAAGTAGCATTAACATTTGATGATAGAAAATGAAGGCCAATAAGCAGGAGGTGTATGTGGCTGTGTAAAGAGAATGGGCCTTTGGGAAGTAGAAGAGCTGAAACTTCAGTTGTAACAATTATATTTTTATGACTCAAGACAGAAATAAAATGTTGAAATGTGAAATTAATGTAGAGGCTTAGTTGGAATGCTATGAAAAACATAGAAGCTGGGCATATAAAATCATTTTCATATATCAGTGTGTCTGTTTATGAATGATCAATTACATAGGAGTCAGGAATTATACATGAGGTTACACTACTTCATTTTCTTTCCCAGCAAAATGCTGGGAAATCCTTCACATTAAAAATCTACATTGCATGAGTTCTACTTACAGGAAGTTCTCATGCAGATTATAGTAAGTGCTGAATCTTTTATGAATTACAGGTTACTGTCTCTGACTTTTGTCTTGGTGATGTCATGGTCATGTGTATGCAAAGGAACATTAATGAGCTACTGTGAGCTTCAATAGTATTGCGATATAGTATTACTTGGGACAAAGTGTCATTTATATGCCTAAAAATGCACAGGTTGGCAAAGTGGGGAGTGTGGGGAGGGGGAGAAAATCAAATAACACACTGTCCTTTGGCAACTCTCCCCTTTCATGCTGTAATAACACTTAAAAAATAATTTATGTATCCAAATCTCTCTGGTGGCTAGTCAGAACTCAGTATACTTGTTTTGTTTTTGTTTTCAATTTGTTATGCTGCTGTGCATCTAGGCTAAAAGAGGTCTATAATTGCTTGCAGCAGCAGTTAGCAAAAGCTTGGGATGCACTATGGTGTGTAGCTTTTAATTTCCTAAACCTTATTTACAATTCCTACATACCCCACTGAACACTGAAGTTAAATGTCATCTTTGATTTAGCTCATCTGATTAGGAATGTTTAGGGCCAAATACTTAGGTTCACATTTCTACATGTGCATGGTGGTACTTTGTTCTTTTACTACCGCATGTGAAAATCCGCAGGTTACATGCACAATCACAGATATTGGTGTCTAAGCGGATTACCTTCCCGGACAGGGAGTCTGGGGGAGGGGTGCTGCAGAAGCCCATCTTCTGGTATATCAAAACCATTGGAACTGCATTCCTGAAGAAAGAGAATCTCTTTCAAGCACTTTGGGCACAGGGTGATTTACTGAACACCACTACAGGCGTGTGCATATCTAACCATACATATGTACTGTAGGAGATTTGAGCAGGCATCTGGGTGGGTCTGTGCACAGTTATTAATTTATATTTTTATATTACAGTATTGCATAAATGCCCCAAACATAATCAGGGTGAAACCATTTTGTTTGGGTTTGTACATACCCTTATTAACAAACCATCTTTACTCTAAAGATCTTCCAATCTAAATAGACAAGACAGAGAGGATGGGAGACAATTCTTTTTCCTATCTCCACTTTACAAATGGGGAACTGAGGTCCACAGATGTTGTGTGACTGTGCCCAAGGTCACACAGGAAGTCTATGCAGAACCAGGAATTGAACCCATGTATCTTAAGTCAAAGTCCAGTGCCTTAACTAAAAGGGACCCAATCACTTAGCTGCTTTGGTATTACAAACCAGACTCTCGGTACTCCTGTTCTTCTTTTTGCGGATACAGACTAACACGGCTGCTACTCTGAAACCTGTCGGTATATATACAAATATATTATATTTCAAAAGAGATG